ATTTGTAAGGTTTCTCTCCTGTATGAATTCTCTGATGCATTCTCAGACTTGTGATGTAAGTATAGCATTTGTCACATTCACTACATTTGTAAGGTTTCTCTCCTGAATGAATCGTCTGATGAAGTCTCAGGTTACATTTGTGGGTCAAGCATTTGTCACATTCAGTGCATTTATAAGGTTTTGCTCCTGTATCAATTCTTAGATGAATTCTGAGACTGCCTTTTTCAGTAAAGCATTTGTCACATTCATTGCATTTGTAAGGTTTCTCTCCTGTGTCAATTCTCTGATGAATACTAAGATGAGATTTTCTGGAAAAGGATTTGTCACATTCACAATATTTGTAAGGTTTCTCTCCTGTATGAGTTCTCTGATGAACACTAAGATAGGATTTATGGGCAAAACACTTTTCACATTCAAAGCATTTGTAAAGTTTCCTTTGTGTGTGACATCTCTGATGCATTTTAAGTTTGAATTTTTGTGTAAAACGTTTTTCGCATTCACTACATTTGTGAGGTTTCTTTCCTGGATAAACGCTCTGCAGAATTTGAAGATTGTCTCTCTGGGTAAAACGGTGGTCAGGTTTACTATATTTGTCAGGATTCACTCCACTATTATTTTGTTTCACCAGTGGTTTAGGTTTAGAGAAAAAAACTTTATCAAATTCTGTATTTCCATTCTGCTCTTTCTTTCCTATATGGATTTCTTGATTGAGACTAATGATTGAACAGATATTTAAACCATTTGAACATTCTTCATACTTGCAAACTTCTTCAGTGTTCCCAGTTTTAAGTATTCTTAGGTTTGAGAATTGAAGAGATGCATCTCTGTCATGAGTTTCATGAGGTGTACTTTGGGTAGATTCATGAATCATATTGCTAAGCTCATTGCATTTAGAAGACTTTTCTTGGATATTCACATGCTCATGGACAATGTACTCTGTGTCTTGATCCAAAATCTTCCCATACATTCCACATATTCGATGATTTTCAACAAACAAAAGATTGTTGTAATTCTCCAACATCACATCCATGTATAATGCCCTCTGAGCAACATCGAGACATTCCCATTCCTCCAGTGAGAAATCCACAGCCACATCCTTAAAGGTTAAGTGACCCTTCAGAGTGTTTACCAAGGAGGCACTCATTGTTTTTGTCGTTCTCCTAGGCGCTGGCAGGTGACAGGATGAACTGCTGAATGTCCTAGGAGGCCAGCACAGCAAATACAGCTTAAGGAAGTTTTCAGTTTCCTCTAATACCAGACACTAGTCTCCCACCAGGACTTTCTGAACACGAGGGTGCAGAGATACTGGAATGCTGGAATGGCCATGTATAGATACTTTAATGTATTTTTTTACATTATAAAATGTTTTTCTAATATGTCTAATTAGTTCCTGGCAGAGAATATTGGCATTTTACCATGCAAGCTGTTTTTATAATGTGTAAGAGCTCTCAGAGGTAGGAAGCATCCTGTGTAACTCTTCCTCCATTTTAGTAACAAAGCCTTCATATGGCTCATCTTGGTTTTGTTTTATTCCTGCTAATAGAGTTGTCTTTCCATCAACAAGAGAAAGCCTTCTCCAAGCATCTACTGCTATCTTGGAAACTTCTTCTAGTTCTTCCCTTTCTAAACCAACTTATTTCTGGGGGACGTTATAGTCTTTTCTACCCATGAGCATTGATATTACAAGTATATCCTCCTTCTTCTTGAAGGCTAAATTCTGAACCACTTCCCATGCTCTATCTTCATATTCAGTACTCCACACTATAAAATGTGCAGGGCTAAGAGTGGACTCTTTAGTCTGATGCCAGTCATAAGGAGTTATCCACATGCTACCCAACATTTCCACAATCTCTAGAGTGTATCAAACATTCAACCCAATGCTTTTTACAGAACATTGTAGTTCTTTAAGAGTTTTTAAAGGAAGAGGTTCCCATTGGGGTGTCTCTCCTTCAAAAATTGTTGCTGGGAATCAAACGTCCAAGTCTCCTTTTGGCCTTGCTTCTTTTATGGCCAAAAAATCCCCTATTCATTGGCATTTTTCTTTCAAGCTTGGCTGATGTTGTTTTAAAAGTAGAAGGGGCAGTAACTGAGGCAAAAATATCGTCTATTTCTGTCCTAGAAAGATTTTTATCATATAAAGGATCCCTTCTTTAGCAAGATCATACTCCTCTGCTCTTTCATCCAGTTCTTGTTATTCCTCATCACTTAACCAATCATCTCCCAGTTGTGCCTTGAGGAGATTAATTGTAGATGAGGAAGTATTATATGACTTAGTTTATGTCCTCAGAGGAGTTACCTCATCCTCTGAGGGCGCTTCTTCTGCAAAGAATTCCGTTTCTGGTTTTTCTTAAAGGAGGTCTCTAATTTGTATCCAAAATGAGAATGCTTGACTCAGGACTTGTCTAGGGCCATGACATTGATAAAACCTCCTCATCACTTGTCCTACCTTTTCCCAATTTTCTAAAGACATGCTTCCTTCCTCTGGGAACCATGGGTTGACACTCAGTACAAAGTCATAAAATGCTGTCAAACTCTTCTTTGAAGTTTTAGCACCTCTACTTTCTAACATATGATTTAATACCACCAGGAGCAAGCCCCTGTTCTTGGAGTGTGAATGCCCCAAGGTTTTTAACTTCTTGTTGTCTTAACTCGATGTTTCTCTATCTAGGAGTCTGCAGCAATCTGAAGAAGTTCTATCCTTACCTCGAAATGTGTTTTTGTTAGAAAAAAGGATTGAGAAAGCTTACCTGCTTTGAGCCCCATGTTTGGGCTCCACAAAGTAATCATATTTTCAGAACTACAATGCTCAAAGAAGAATTGTGAATGTTGTAGATAGCATAAGCTGTAAGTCATTGATTATTTTAATCAGACATTAGAAAATGTGATGGCATAAGAGGTGAGTCTTCCCAATACAAAGCTTCTTCCACATCATGCTAGTGTATAGTTAGAAGCAGTGAATGAGCAACAAACAGATTCCAGAATGTTGGCAGCTTAAATGAGAAAATAAAGAGCTACCATCACATGCATGTTGATTGCAATTTTAGTTTCCAGTTAAAAACTGTTTTTGATCTGGGTCTATTTCTTAGATGCTCATATGATTAAAATGTTATGCTCATATCAAACTCAGAATGGGAAAAGCTCACCATCAAATATGGTCTTAGCTTTTGGTGAATAACTTTACTGGTAAGATGGATTCTGCTGAAACCAGCATGCACTCCCTCATTTTCCCCCTGCATCTTAGATCCCTTTTCACTGCTTCAAAGATGTACTGTTATGTTTTATTTCTGCTTTTTGAAACTGGAGATTGGAAATAAAATCAGCATAAGATGTTTTGAAAATAATTACACACTGTTTTGTGCCTTGTAAGGACTTTACCAGCTGGGACGCTTTGTAAAATTAATTGTTAGCTGCTGGCAGTTTTTGGCTCTCTCTGCCTTCTTAAGGGCATTGAAATTGTTCTCTTCCAGCCCAGTCCTAAGAAAGGCCCATTGAGATTTGCTAACACTATCAC